GCGGCCTCACGACAAATCCTTTTTCAGGACTGTCGCCTCTTTTTCTTCCCCCGCCATCTTTTGTTCTGCTGAATCTCAGTTGCTTAGCAACGCGTTCCTGCGGTTTCTTAAACTTTGCCCATTAGAAAGTGAGCGGAATTTCGTTGTTCTTATCACGAAGTCGGAAACGCTTAGTCAACTCGTCCCGTCCGAAATTTTTAAAGTAAAGTTTGCAAATGACATTTAATTCGACAAATACAATCTCTGATTCGCAGAGATACTCGCAAGCCGACTACTGGGATGAAATAGAACGTTCTCGAGACAAATTAATTACGTGGCAGTATGATTTTTTCTTGAGAAGCTTGTAGTGTCTCAACCGGTTAAGAAATTCCACTCGTTTGTAAAATCCACCGATACAGCTTGCCATGATTAAGTTAAAAGTCAAGTCTCTGCTATTACACACAGTTTTTAAAATTTGTTTCAATATAATCGTCCTGTATGCTCTTCGGTCCCACTGTTTTGAAGGAGTTCATTATGAATTTTCCAGCCACCAGCCACTTCCTCCCCTCGCATCCGCAGCATCCCGTTCTCAGACGCCCTCAGTTAACATTTTCAATGTCACACGATACAGCGGTTCCGTTTTTTATGTATTTTGTCTTCACGTTCTTTAATTGTGAAACGTGGAGAAAAATTGTGTGGACTGAACTTGGGGCTTACAAAACTTAATAGTCGAATTTCTTACCGTAGTTTCCTGTTACATCCCAATTCCCACGTTAATTCTTCTCCTTCTTCATGTGCCCGTTTTACCTTCATTGTCCATCGAGTTAGTCGGTTGGGCCGTCCGCATTCTGCAGATTTCCTACGATCTGCACAGTTTCTCTCTTAGGCTCAATCATCGTCTTTTCATCTCATGTCCCGTACCTGACGCCCTCTGTAGGGACGTCGTGGGTTCTGACTTTCGGCTTGAGGTCGCGTGTCCTGACTTCTTTATTCGATGTTTTATTCATTTCCACGAGGCAATATTTTGAACGTACGTAAAAAAGTCTTTGGTTGTTCGGTACTATATCTTTATAGACAGGCCACGGCATTCACAGTCACGCTTTGTACTACGCTACGTAACCACTGCTGTTGAAATATCGTCGTTAAACCAACTCCACTGACTAAGTCCTCAGAAAATTCGTAGTCACTCCGGTGCTTAAGAAATTCGCTGCCTCTTATGGACCCCGAAGGTTCCTTACCGTGCTCACAAGAGCCCGCCACTGGTCCCTGTCTTGAGCCAGGTGAATCAGGAAAGTTTACCCGGCCTGTTCTAAAATTTGTTCGGATAGAGTAGGAAATACGGTCGTAGCTCTTCTCTGACCCTTGCGGTAAGCTCGGATAGCCGACAGAAAAGCTTTAGGACGAGGTCCGTCTCAGAAAACGTGATCGCGTGACCCACGTTTCCAGTTGCGACTCTGATTTTTTTCTGTTTTCCTTTGGATCTTAAAGTCAATGGTATTTAAATAAGAGGGACGGAAGTGCCCTCTGAGTACAACCCAGTTCGACTACGGAGTCCCGCTGTTCAGAATCATTCGTCCAAAGAACTCTATTTAATTAACCCTCTCTGCCCTAGAGACGAGATTTGTTATCTCTGGTCTGAATATCAACTCAACTGTTTGTGATTATCGTCAATAAAAGTCGCGCATTACCAGGGAAATAAAAATAAAAATAAAGTCAGTTTATTTTTTTATGTAACTCGTTGATGTTTTCAATGCTACGAACGACATTTCTCGTTCAGAATCACCAACAGCTCTTGCTGCGAATAACTGTAATGGGCGTTCTTTATCTCTCACATTTTCCTCGAGTCAGTTAATTCGTGGCGTTTCCTCATTTCAAGTCATGAACGGAGTCATTTATAATGGATATTAAAATCAAACAAAGGGAAAGTTTTGCGATTAAAACCCAGGGCGTTCGAGTGGGGTTTCTTTTCACCCCAAAACTGGAACTATAAAATATTCTGCCTCTTGTCCTTATCACGTGGCTATGCCTCACAATTATGTATTTTGCTCCGAACCATTCGTTTCTGTGTTTACCTTAAATATTTTCATTACGCAAGACATTTGCCCTTTATAAAAGAAATCAAGACAATGGATAATGTCTAGAAAGTTCGTTGCTTTAAGACTGCATTATCGTCTCAGGCATTCAGATTTAATGCGGCCATTTTGTTCACACGATTGTGACGTCACCTCTCATTCAGATTTGAATAGTCGTCTTAAAGTAAAATACGTATTACCTTATTATGTTGGAATCTTTTTGACTGGAGTTCGAAGTAGGTCAGGTCGAAAATTCGATCGTTGGCAGAGAGAGTAAGAACGATAGACTCTCTCCCTCTCTCTCTCTCGTTAATTTTCCATTCTTGTCTTCAGGCTTCAATATCTTCTCTGCACATCATTCTTACGCGCTGTAGTACGCTCCGAATGAAACGTATATAAGAAGAAAGTGTTGAAAACTTGAGAATGTAAATTTCTCGAAGAGAGTAACAAACTTCCCGCTTTATTAACTGTGTTACTACGTATTTTACATAATTTCAATGTGTGTGTCTATGAAGTTGATCCAAAGTTAAACGAATATTATAATTTTATTCGATGATAATTCAACCCCTTGGAATATTTCCTGCTATCCGTAACACGTTCCTGAAAATCTGCTTTCGAGGCGAAACTTTCCAGAGCGGAATAATTGCATTCACGATGTCACAGATGATGTTATTGCGCCTTTGGGAGCAGTGTTGTGATTATGCACGAGATATGAGTATCGTTCTTTGGTGTGGAACGTCTCGCTACAGGGTGTCCAAAAAGACGCCTGTTGCCTGGTTCATGTCTTGGGAGCGCTTGCTCTGGTCTCTGTCGCTTGGTTTGTTAGGTTAGGTTAGTTCAATATTGGACAGGTTATAGTCGCTTAGTATCGGATATCTGCAGTGAGCTTAGACATCGTCCTCCATATCAAACGGATTTCGGTGAGATTTAGTTTATAAAGTCTTTCTTATGTTTGTCCATGGTTTGTAGTTAGTTTAAAACTTAAAATTATTCGTTGTCCAGGACTTTTTCCATCGTCTGTTTTTAAAATTACGACGTTTCGGAGGCTGGTTCTGTCTCCGTCTTCAGGTGAGAGGTACTCTTTAGAATTGAATTGCACAACCGGTATGGACCCTTGTTTCAGAAAACTTGAAAGATTGAAAATTCAAGTAGCAAAGAAACGAATAATTTTAAGTGTCAACTACCGTCGTCAGAATAGCTGTTTGAACTTCATGCCGACTGAGTTGAACAGATGTTCGTGAATAGAAGGAGAATTTTCTGAGGATTTGGAAGGAGGCGTTCTGATATATTTGACTTGTGACCTATGGCGTTTTTAATCTTCTGCTACGCAAATTCGTACTTAAGTGCACAGATTTTTATTGTAAACTCTTGAGTGTGTCACTTAGGTATATTAACTAGGTTGTGGGGGGGGGGGGGGGTTTGGTGGAGAACCTCAGAATGTAAAAGGAATAAGTGATTCTCGTGAAGGAAGCGTCAGATGGGACAGATACGTTAATCAGCTGTGGTAGGACCAAGGGCCGTAGGACGTGGAAATACGAAGACCGCCAAGGGCGACGACAGTGACCAGCACTCAGCAGTGAGTAGTTTTCCTGTTGCTCTGTGCAGTGGACATCGGCCGGGGAGCGTAAGCGGCACCTGGACACGCAGTTTCCTGACCGGAGGCTAATGATAGTGCGGGCTCGCCGGACTCAAACCCTCTGAAACGTCTGAAATCGTTTACAGGCGTTCGCCGACTGACGCCGAAGACTTGGCCTGTGGCGACCAACGGTACGGACGCGTTATGGCTTGTGCGCGACGTCGGAAAATGCTCGTGGACGAACAGTGTGCAGCTTCACAATACAGACTCTTCGTTCTATAGTTTAAGGGCGAGGAAATGAAATTGGCGAAGGAGACACAACGAAATAATAAGTACGCACAAATTTTTTGTTAAGAATAAAGGAACCAGGCCATTTTGAGACCTACACGTAGATGAGAACGTGCAGTCAGTGTGGATCTTAAAGCAACAATCTGAGTGTATGGATTGGATTCGACTAGATCTGAAAGGTCCAGTGAATACGATGCGTGCGGATTGTGACGTGTATCGTCCTGAAGAAAGACGCAGAATGTCGGTGAACAGTCAGAAGAATTCACGATCCACCATCTAAACACACAGAACAGTGTAGAACATCAAATCTTACACGAAAATTAGAAGTTTATTATGAAGGTCTCCTCTCTATGACGCCGCTGAATTAGGGCATTTATCAGGTACACCATGCACTTAATAATGAGTGACACGAGTTTGGTCGCCAACTATCTGGGAATATCCACGCCCTTATTCGACCTATGTTATATGGTGACACCATAAACACATATAAAATTTTATGTGAAATAGTCTTTATGTTCTTAACAAGGACAACCGTGCGATTATTTGTGGTTAAAGGGCGTATTTTTTCTCCAATGATCTCTCTACTGGTCTGCTTCTATAAATTATGCAACATTTGGTCTTAAATTTCAAGCTTCTCTGTAGTATTCAGTGTTCTCTCCTTTTCTATTTCATTTTAATGACGTTATCTACGTACTTAGTGGTCAGATACGAAGCATGTCGTAAGAATGACCGACAGCGATCTTCGATAAGATAATTTCGGTGGCATGTGAACATATCACAGCCGTGTTCATGACATTTGCAGGGGCATACAAAATGTGAGTGTGACGAATATCGACCGCGCGGAATTATAGGACGGCCTCGATTAAGTAAATGTGAACTTTCGATTCGCGGTATCGACAGCTGACGAGCGGGCCGACACATCACGACCAGCTGAGGTCGCCGCCTCTGGTCGACTGCTGCCCCGCACCGATGGCCTCGTCTGCGCCTGCGCACGAGCGGGAGGAGGGGCTGGCTGGTGTTGCGCTGTCGTACTGACCGACCGGTAATCGATGCGTGGTGCCGTGTTCGGCGTGTTGTAGGTTTTCAGGAGTTGCACGGTAGAGGGTGTGTGTGTACAGCAGAGGGTGGCGGCGGTGGTTATGTGAGGGTGTGTGTGTATGTGTGTCTGAAGACGTCCCCACGATCTCAACATGAATATTCTAGGTAGGCCACACTTTTTAAACAGCACCAAACGTTCTTAATTAATTCTTTTATGAATCGTTAGTTTTTAGAAGTTCCACTTACAGGTAAATGTATTGACTTCTTTCGTATTTCGTTATTGTTCTATTTTACAAATCACAGTTCAAAACAGCGAGTAGAATCCATTATTTCATAACAATGTTCGAATACTCTTTGTTTTTAAGTTTCCTTTAATCCAGACAAAAACTAACTTGTACATAAAAGCTAATTCTTTTAATTTCAAAGATTTTCCTGGTGGCACAATCTCTGTTTATCTGAGAATCGCTTCAAACTTTTCTCTTTACCAGGACATTTTCATTCAAAGTCTTGTCACCTTTCTTTTGTTATGAAACTTCGTGAATTTTCTTGTCGCAGCAAGACATTCTTTTGTTATTTTACGCTTCCAAACAGATTCGTTGTTAAAGTGCATCACAGATGCTGGTTTCCATGGCTCCAACTTCTGTTTTGCCGACTTCTTGTGAGTTTTTAAGGAAGTATCTCCGGATCGGTATTTATTTTAAAATTTCCACCAGGAAAGTGACTTATTGCTGTCGTAAAAAAATAATATGTCTCTCTAAAGGTTCTATTATACGAAAATGTCACAGAAAAGTGAATGCAAGATAGAAACTGTTTGAAATTGAATGTGACAGAGAAGAAAGTGAACGTCATTTAACAGAAACTGTACCAGATTAAAAGCGAGACTTTTTAAAGAAGGGGATCCTTTGGAAATTGCAGGAATTTAAAACTAGCAAGAAACTGCCGGGTACCTCAGTGAGGCATTTGACATACCGCGACACAGCGACGTCTTAAGAGCGAACTTCGAGACTCGTCTCGTCTCGTATTTCATAAACTTTCAAGACCAGTGTTTTCCGATGTATTCCCACTTCATTGTCCTTTCGGTCTAAAGAAACTCGACTGTCCCTAGACTAGTAAACTGTATGTATTAACAATTAAATATGGTGCAACATATTATGTTCAAATTAAAGAGAGGGGTAACTCAGTAACAGTAAAACGTGGATTAAAGTAAAATGTGCTTGTAGGTTATGGATGAAATTTAGTGGGACGTTTTTGGTTTGTGATTTCCTCAGTTGCTTCTCTTTGCGTGAAGAAAGATGTCTCCGTTGGTTGAAGCGACGATGACGCCCCGTTTTTTTCGTGGCGTCGCGACGTCCACTTGAGAAGTTTCACTGATCCATATGTTGGCACTTCTGAACATTCTGAAAGGTTGGATGGATCGGAATTCGGCCAAGCTTTCTTTGTTTTTGCGTGACACCAAAGTGTTGTATGAGCCGGGATATCTCAGTCAGTATAGTGACTAGCCACGGGCTGGACGACCGGGGTTCGATCCCCGACGGGGGCAGAGGATTTTTTTTCTCTAGCCTCTGCGTCCAGATCGGCTCTGGGGCCCACCCAGTCTCTTATCCAAATGGGTACCGAGGTCCTTTTCCGGGGGTAAAGCCGGCCGAGACGTGATACCGACCACTTTACCAAAGTGATGTCTGCTAAATCCCCGTGGTTTTCTGTCAAATGTCATCGGATCTCTCCGTTAATGAACGTTTAATGTCTCATTCTTCTTTCGACGAAAAAAACGGGAATTTTAAGACGACGCTCAAAGCTAGACGTCGCCGTATTGTGCGTCTCGTTTCTGAGTGCCCGTTATATCGCAAACAATTTTGTAAAGTCAAACGTTCAATAGCCTAGATTTAAAGTTTGAAACTGAGTGGTAACTTTTTGTTAACAGTTGGTAACGCTACATTTAGTATATATTAGTTTCGTGTGATTCTCAGAGTCGTCAGCGATTATTTCTTAAAACACGGCTAACCAGCTGTTCCTTGTAATGGTGAAGTGTTGTGTTTTCTTCGCGGTACGGACTGAAATCTTAAGTATTTCTTAGCCGAGCTTTGACTTTTGAGGGTTAATGTCGCTCGTTGTTCTTGCGGCTTAAGGAGCGTCCACTAGGGGCGAAACAGTTGGCATGGCGACAAGATGATTACTTAACCCGAGAAAGTGAGTTGAAGTTGTACATGGAGGATTTTATTAAATGTCCTTTGAAAACCCCGATGAACAGTGGCCACAATTTTTGTGGATTGGAGGTCGAACACGCAAAACACTTTCTTTGGTTGAGTCGCCATTTTACTGCCATGTCAACAGAAGAGCTCCTAGCGGTCATCGCTGGAGTTACGCCACTTTTCTTGCTTCCTACAAGAATGCTATAAAGTTTCATTTCTGATTGCCGTTTAATTTTTCTTAAATATTTGAAACATCTGAAAATAGATGTTCTTACTCTTTGCTTCACTGCCGACAAGTGGTGTATGTTGATTCAGAAACTTCGAAATTTTAAAAATTATTATCTTATTGGCCGGCTTGTATGAAAACTCAAATTTTTTTTTTGCAAATTGGGTATTCCCACAAAGTGCAACCCCTGTATATAACAACGGGCCCTCATTTTAGCCGTGATTAAACGTAAGCCCTGAACTGCTTCGGAAATACTGTTGATGGAGTTATTTTTTTAAGAAAATATTTTCAGTATCACAGAACTTTAGCGTAACAGTTTTTTTTACTGCAAATGTCAGTCCTTGACAACGTTCAGTTTTAATAAATATTTTTTTTTATGTTCATGAATGAGACAGTTGATATGAGGTTAAATCGTGTTCACTTCGTCTCTGAAATTGGATATTAATTATGTTCGCCAAACGTCCATTTCTGAAAGATGGCACGTGCTTCTAATGCATTACTTTTTGAAAATCCGTCGCAGAACTTAATTTTCTCCGACTGCAAGACTGGCGATGATGAATGTGTTTTTGTATCTTCATTCTTTGTTCCAGACGTACTTTTGCTCTTGTCTCGAGAATGTTGAGAAATTATTGAACGTCTTGTCATAGGGAGAATTTTATTTTCTGAATTCCCGAAGGTAGTTCCTGCCCCTTCTCCTAATTATTAAAGTCGTGTATTGAAAAGACGCAAAGTAACGACGTCTGCTCCAGACGATGCTGCTTCGTCCCCAGAGGAAAAGACTCCTCGCTTTGCCGCACGGACTAAGGCGCCGGGCAAGAAACCACTAGAATACTTGCCCGCAGATCAATTTAGCGACTGCTTTGACATGCAAAGACGCCTTCGAAGGCCGGGGCTGCAAAGCCGTTGCTTTCCGTCTTTCGTCGTGTTCACAGACCGTCAACCCGAACCTCTGAATCAGTTCGAACCCCTTGAATGCTAATAACGTGTTATCTCGCTTATAACACTACCGTTTCTCGTCCCGAAAAGTGTTGGTAGAGCAAATACCTTCGGACATAGAAATTTTATGTGCATGTTATAAATCCGTGTTTTCGGTACCGTTTCAGAAAATTGGCGCGTCTTGCAGAGTAAATTTCTTCTGTTTTGGAAGCTAGGCACAGGGATGTTCAAAACCTTTGGACGAAGTAGGCCCTGGAATTAGGAATATTATTAGTTCGGGAAAGCCACATTTGTTCTGTTTTCAAATTAGGTCCAGGGGTGTCCAGCAATGCTGGTGCGTTGTACAGAAGTGGCAAAGACTCTCGCTTTGTGGGGATTCCCTTCGAGCAACGACATCAGACAGAATATTATTGTAATCGTGGGATCGCGTCTGAATTTTGTCGCCGAGACCCGCTGTTACGCTCCGTTCGTCACTTCCGTGCGGCTGTCAGCGAACAAATTCCAGTTCTTTTCTTGCTTAAACGAATTCTTTTTGACTTTGGCGAAGAAACTTCTTTGTCGCGTGCTCTCCTCTTCAGCGTTTGCTTCAGAATGTTTCGGACAACCGTCTCATTGCCTCGTGTCGGGCGCCGGCTTCACTCACTCCTTGCTCCTTCGTAAGGACACTTACGAGGTTGGTTTACTGCACTGAATAGTTTCGATATGAACGATAAATGCCACTCTATTTCGCTGATACAATTTTAATTGAAATACATTCTGTGACTCACGAGACTTTACGATTTCAGGGAAGAAAGTATGGCGATATTGGTAGATATTTACAGACGTTTTTCTGGCGCTTGCTGCCTCAGTTTTCGGGGTACACATCTCAGAAGATAGCCATCTTCGTTCCGTACTTTCTAAGACGAAACATGCGGACAGGCGACCATGAGATGGGCTTCGCCCCCTTCATCAAAAAAAGCAAACAAACCCGGAATATAGGCCTAAGTGCTCTTTCCAGTACTGACTTGATGTACTGTGATTTACTGTGTATTTATAGACGTGCGTACACGCTCCGTGGATTAGTGTCCGTCAGAATGAGACAAAGGAGATGCAATTTATCATGCGAAGTCGCTAGTACTTTTTTATTAATGACGTTTTAATGACGCAACGTGGAGGCGAGAGCAGTTGTACCAACCTTTGGATCCTCCACTGCTTCGTATATCGATGTCGTTTCATTGTGACTCCACGCCCCCTCCCCAATTGTCAGGCGAAATGAGAAGAAAGTAAAAATGTTTCCTGGAGGACCAGGGCGAGGGGGGGGTGCATGAGGGTGACAGCTGAATGTCTTTAATGGATTGATTTATAATGCAAAACATTTTTGCGTCTTGTTATTGCATCCTATGGAATACGTAGACATCACGGAAGCCCATTCACGGTCTTGATAGAAGCAGCAAATGCCCCCGAAAGGTCCGCAATAATTATTACTTCGACGCTGTGTTGCAGGTGGCCGTGAAAACTTGAAGATGGTGGCTGTATTCTGGCCGATGATTCGCAGGTGTTTGCTGCTTCCATCATCAAGGCGATGAGTCCTGATGATTATGGAGGCTGCAGGCACCTCTGAAACGTCGGTACTACCAGAATACACGGCTTAATGTCACAAAAGACAGCCATAAAAGAATTACATTTAATAAAACGCAACTTATATTCGAGCTACGGTGGGGAATACGCAAAACTTTTTAATCTCTTTCTTTGTGGGTCGACCTTCATTTTGTGTCTGAGGACACTGAAGAAAACATTTCTACGTCAGAGCCAATATTTTTTTTGGCTGATCGTAT